TATTATTATTATTATTATTATTATTATTATTATTATTATTATTATTATTATAAATTCTGTGAGTAAAATCATAAAGGTGATACTAAATTCTAAGTCAAAAAGTATCGGGTGCAAGATACAGTAATATAAATGTTGATAATAATAATCAATTACATGTCCAAAGCCTAACAGAGATTCGCTTTAGCTCAATTTTTGAAAAGTGAACCTCAGTGAATTCTGAGTAATATCTCAGAATTTTCAGTTTTCGAATTCCTCCTCTTAATTTCAGTCATACCTTCCAAAAGCTGGATAAAGGCTTTCAAACCACCAGTAGGGTAAGCACATTTGAATCTCTGGGAGAACCTCATTCCTTTATCCCAGGGGTGTCAAGCTCGCATTGTCATGTTGTCATGTGATGTATCGTGACTCTTTCCCCCTTTGCTAAATTGGGGGTGGGCATGGCCAATGTGTGATGCATCCATGCCGCAGGCTGTGAATTTGAGTTTTACCCTATTCCAGAGGATAGCTGTTGCTACAGAGAAGGCATATTTCCAGGGTTCTGACAGATGACATTGTTTAATTGAAAGAACTTGGAGCATGCCAGCCTTGCCAGGTGCAGTCAGCAGGACAGATACTATGGAAGACAGGTGGTTCCTCAAGTAACCAGGTCTTGTGCCATGTAGGGCTTTAATAATGACCGGCATCTTGAATTGCACCAAGAAGCAAAATGACAACCAATGTAGCTTACAAAGCAGAGTGTTACATGGGCATACCAGTGGATATCCATCACTGTTGCATTCTGGACCAGTTGAAACTGCTGGGTAGTATTCCAGGATAGCCCCATGTAGAGAGCTTTGCATTACAGGTAGTCCTTGATTTATGATCACAATTAATACCAGAATTTTGGTTGACAAACAGTATGGTTGTTAAGTGAGTCATACCAATTTGGTTAATGTATAAATAAATTAATGTATCAAAGACCAGGTTATAGATATAGAAAATAAAGCAGAATATAGTGTACCGTATATTTTAAATCTATCATCATTGGTAGTATAATATAGAAATAAGAAGACCAGATAAATAGAATAAATATGTCAAAGTAGGTAGACTATTATGATATACGGGAAATAAAAACATATAAAATCTTATATCAGTGTGTTTTAATATTACATGTGTCATTATGAATTTATTTTACAGCTTCTCTCAGATTTTAATGTACAGTACAACTCTTACTCCATTAATTTTAATAAGTGTTGCTCTGATTGATATTTTTGTTGTATATCACTGAAGATGAATTATAAATGCAACATATGATTTCTTTTCATTTTTGTATCAGCTCACAAAATTACCAACAACATGTCCCTTTTGTAAATCCCATATAAAAAGGTTCTACAATCTACTCTTCTGGTCTATTATTCACATGTCCTTTTTAATTATTTAAACATCAGCCAGCTTCATTTGTCAGTTCAGTTTACTTTGTTCCATAACCTTCTTACAGCCTGTGATTTTTTAAATCCACATTTAAGCCAATTTCATTCTTGTCAATTGAAACTTGTTTCTTTTCCATAGTAACATCTAGTCTTTTAATAATGTCAGAAATCTTTAAAAGTATTTTCTGAATCATTTTTTCACATATGTCCTTGTGTAAAAAATATAAATATTCAGTTTCTCATTAGAAGAGATTTATAATTAATTTCAAATATTTATTCAAAATGTATCTGAACCCTTAATCCATGTTTAACTTTCTAAAAGCAATATTCTAAACACCATTTTTACTGTATTCCAAAAATATTGTTCCAAGTCCTTAAAATCATATTTAAAACTTTAATTGAGGCGATTCAGCCACTGATAACTGTAGAAACTTGCCAATCTGAAGGGTAAGAAACAAGGAATAAAGTTTTTGTTCTTAAAAGGCTGCAGTACGATTGAACTTAGATGGTATCCTGCAACTTTTAGTCATTCAATTCCTCAGCTGATTGTAAAACAGTTACTGCAGCCTACTCATGAGGAGCAGCTGTCTGGGAGTACATAAGGGTTGTCTCACAATCTCTCCTTTTTCTGGAGAGATTTCACTGTTAGGATCCAGGATCCAGGATCTCCATCATAAAGCCCATGCTGCCCATCCCTTATTGGCAGAACATCTACTGTAGCTTGCTATGATGCTCATTGATCACACCATTGACTAAAAAAATAAATAAATTAACCTCTTGCATTGGAATTGAATACTTTTTTTTAATTTTCTCATATTTGGTAACTATAAACAGTTTCTTGTCTATAGGCTAAAGACACACTATGCATTGTATGAGCCTATGTTAAGACAACTGAATGAAAAGTATGAGGTTCTCCTAAGAGAGAAAATGCTTACAAGTTTGGAACGAGACAGAGTTGTTGGGCAGGTAAAGCTTACAGCAATTTTAACTTACATTTTTATGGAAACCATTTAAAATATTATATTATTTAATTTAATGTTTTAGGTAAAGTTTTATTCTGTGCCATTCCTCATAATTCAAGGTGGGTCAAAGAAACAAACCAAAGTTAAACAAATGCACATCAAAGAGTTTGTTTGTTGAATGTGGCATTAAGTACACCAAGAAATATACATCTTTTTTCTAAAATAGTGAGGCTTTTTCTTTGTCTAAAAACAGTATGATTTGGGGAAGGAGAAGAAAACCAGTTGAAATACACTAATGGCCTTTTGTTTACAATTGTAGCCTCCCAGGCTTTTATTTCTGTGTGTGAAGTGAAATTTTATAATTTGACATTTTAAAGCAGAATTCTTATTAACGGTAATAATAATAAGAAATTATATTGCTTTCTTGGGTAGAACATACACATTTCTTTTCATCTTAGTTCTTAGCATCACAACTAGCTATCAACCTGTATTATTAGAATGTGCTTATGTGTGTATATATGTTTATGAAAACACATGAAAGTCATGGGTTGTTCATAGGGCAAATATTGTTTCCTATTACCACAGTTATGTTGAATGCAAAATCCATAAATCCAAATCCATAAATCCAGAGAAAAGCTGCTTCTAATTATCATTCTTTTCACTAAGCCTCTTCTATCATTCTTTTCCATTCCTTCCACTGAGGCTTCAGGAAGTTTTGATGAAGTGAATGAAGAATTCTATTCTTGAAGGAAAGTATTTTGAAACAAATTATGCTCTATTGTAAGCAGAGTATTATTTTAAACATTGAAGTAGAATTCACTGTTCTCTATTATGGTTTGATTGAGGTATAAACTAATTGAAATAACTTGAAATATATTAGGTATAAGTGGCATCATTTTGAGATATGATGTGAAGGAAGGGGTGAGGACATTAATATAATAGTACAGAATCATCAAGTTGGAAATGACTGTTTAGTCCATCAAGGCCAAAGCCTTTATTCAGTGCAGGAATCCAATTAAAACATCCTAGACAAGTGGTTAATTAGATTCTGCTTCAGTGTATTCAACGAATGGGAGCCTCTCACCACACTGATTAACTGTGATTACTGTTTCTAATTTTCAGTCAGAAATGGCTATCTTATAATGTAAACTGACTATTCCATGTTCTGCTTTCTGGAATTAGAACAAACAGGTATTTCTGATATTTGAAGAGCTGTTGAACATTTGCATCATCTTTTGCATCTTTGCATCTATAAGCCTATTTGACTGCTAAGACAAACTACCATGTTAATTTCTGGTAATTGCATATTTTTCATGGTGTAGATTCAGGCATATGGATTGCTTTATGATCTGGTCTAAAATGTTCTTAATATATCAATACCTTCTCAATATCAGAGAGGATTTTAGAATAGATCATAACCCAAATTACTGACTGATCTGTTTTTTGTTTGCTGCATCTTTTTCTTTTCCCATGTTGAAGGCAGAGACATTATTTGCTTCCACTCAGAAGTTCTTCAGTGTTCTTCAACATCTTCATAAATGATCTAGAGCAACCCAGACTGTTCCTGACTGGGCTGCGCAAGAGGTGAGCACCCTGTGCATTCAGTTCCACTTGCACGAGCAGCGGTTGATTGCCCTTGCATCACTCGCACAAATGGAGCTCTGCACATGTGTGTGGATGGGCCTGCCACTCACATAGAACCATCCCCTCTCCCCGCTGGAATGCCAAGCTGGAAAGGTTGGGGACCACTGACCTAGAGGAGGGGATTTACTGGACAATCATTTGTCTGGGATGGAATCAGGACTCCTGCCTTGGGCAGGCAGGTTTGACTAGAAGCTCCCAAGGGACCTTCCAGCCTGATGATTCTATTTCTATTCAGTCATGTGCACAATTCTCCAGTTTTCATAAGAGTTCGGTCACTATCACCTAGTTCCCTCAGTATCTTAAGATGCAGTTCAACTGGTTCAGTGAGTTAACATTTTAACTCTTTTCAAGGATGTCCTTAGACTCTTTAAGGGATGTCACATAGAAGATGCTCTTTATCATCTGAAAATTATGATATAGAATAATATATAGAATAAATCAACACAGATGTTTTGACTAAGTATTAGAAGAAGCTTCTAACAGAATCATTTGACAGTGAAGCCAATTACAGATGGAAGAGATGATCTCCTATTTGCTGAATATCCAACAAAGGTTGGACAACCATCTATTGTTAATTCTTTAAACTGGATTCCTGCAGTGGTCAAATGATTATACTTAATGACTAAACAGCCCCTTCGAACTCAACAATTTTGTAATTGTTTTTCCTAAACAGAATATGATCAGGCATAGTTCCAATGCAGTTGACATTGGGCAGGCAGAAATAATTTCTGCTCAACAAAGACAGGTCTCCAAGCTGCTCAGATGCATAAGCAAGGCAAAGTGGAAAGAATTATAGGTTCCAATGGCTTTTTGATTCCAGGAACTTTATCATATTTGATCACTGTGCATCTAAGGGTTCTGTTCAAGATGCAGGTTTGAGTGACAAATTCTTTTTGCATGAAAGGTGATGAGGAGAGGCAGAAATTGTTACCATGTCTTTCTTTCTATGCTACAGGACAATTTTTAATCTAGATGGATTTCCTGAAGTATTAAGATATTATATGCAATCTAATTAGTATTCTGAGATTCTCAACTATATTGAAATATTTTATACTTAATGTCATATATTATTTCTGATTTTCTAAAGGTTCTTGATAGCTTTTTCTTTCATTGTTCAGATGACTGGCTTGCAAGCGACTTTACAAAGCTTGGAATCTGGAAACAACATTCACATTCCAATGATGAAAGGTAAATATTTAGCTATGAACCAAAAGTAAAAGCTTAAGAGATAATGTTTGCTTCTCATGGTATTATGCACATTTCTAGAAATTTAATATTTCTCTACATATTAAATTTATACACTATTTAAATAATCTACAATGTACACAGACTTAAATGGTCTAAAACTAATGCTGTTTTATACTACATTATGCAGAAAATCTCAATGAATAACTAGGGCATTGGGATCCCCAGCATCTTTGTCTACATTTTTAGTAAAAGAAAAAAGAATTAATTAAATTGTTGAGAGCTGTGCCTGATTAGAGACCTGAACTCTATATCCATTAGACTATCACACAATATCTCTTATTTCAAATCTGCTGAGTTACCTTCAAAAGATATTGTTTTTGCTATATTGGTCTTAAGAAGAATGCATCTGAATTGTAGACATCCATCAATATTTAATAGCTTTTGACATCCACAGTAATGCCCTATGGATTGGTTAATTATTCTTGATTTTTTTCCAGATTTCCAACAATTTAGATAAATGTATAGCTATAGTAGGATGACATCCTGATTTTTTTTTACAGTAGTTCCATCCTTACAAGAAATTCACATCAGAAATGTATTTTTCCCCTCATACCCAGTTTTTTTTTTACTAAGTTGGAAAACTGCCTGTTGTAACCCAATAATCCAAATAATCCATGTAACCATTTGGGTTATTGGATCTCTGCAGAATAAGTATAGATGAATCCCATTAAGGTGCAGTATGTTTTCATGTGGTAAACAACTAAAATGTGAAAAATATACATTGTTCGGTGATTTACATTTTTTAATAAAAGACTCATCCATAATTTTGCAAAATGCACAAGACAGCTCAGTAAACTTCTGAAAAAGGGAACCAATTTAACTGATACCCTAAAGAGCAAGCCATCCTCCAGGATTTGAAGGATTTCTTTTAATCTCAGCTGTTACTTAGACATCTGGATTCTAGTTGCTCCTTTGTTGTGCAAATTGATGCCTTGACCTTTATTTGGAACTGTTTTCCCTCAGGCTTTGGCAAAGAGAGGAAGGACCTCTTGTCTTCTGCATTTTATTCTAATCTTTTCCCAACTGAAAGTAACAATAATTTCAACAGAGAATTGCTAGCTATAAAAGCAACACTGAATGATAGAGGCATTTCTCGGAGGGGCCAATGAATAAATACACAAACTTTATTGGGAGTTTGGGAGCATTGCAGAAGTGTGAACCCTAACTTCACATCAGATCAGTTTCCTGATTTTCTTTTTATATCTATACTTCCTAGTTCTCCCCAAATTTGTCAGATGCACTCTCATACAATCTTGAATACAATATTTTAAGACAACCCTCTTTCTTGAAAGAAACGAGAAGGTGTACCCCAGAAAGGACACTCCTGAGAAGACAGGGATGGGAAGACAGGCAATAGATCTTTTAAACTGGATTTGTTTGTAATAACAGTTGGATCTATGTGTCAGGGCTCAGAAGAATGATCTCCATTGAACCCAAAACTAGTTCCTTCAATACAGCAAAAGTTCTGCAAGTAGCTTCAGAAATGCACTTTGAAGCAGCTTGTGCAGCAAAAGCTGGGTGGTGGGGTTGAACTTAGGCAGAAAAAAATACAAATGCATAGGTGCAGAATAGGTGGTACCTGGCTCAACAGTAGTAACTGTGAGAGGGATCTAGGTGTACTAGAGCAGTGGTTCCCAATGTTTTTTTTGCCCCTAAAGAAATTTCACTTGAACCTCGCACCCCCTGAAATTTATATTTTGCTCAAGGATAAATTATGCGAATTCCAAATAATATTTTATCAAAAAAGATTGTTACTTTATTCTTTAATGTAATTACCTGGACTTTTCTTGCACCCCCTGGAATATCGTCTCGCACCCCCAGGGGATGCGAGCACCCCAGCTTGGGAACCCCTGCACTAGAGGGTGGGGCTGTAATCAGTTTCTGGTTGAAGAAGTAGCCATTCTGGAGTTTCTTTTTCAAATGGACAATAAGTTGTGCCTTTCATTTCTTAATTATTTTTAAGGACTACATGTTTCCCTGACAATGAGACCTGGTCCTGTATTTTTGGGTTTCCAGAATAAGCACAAGGGGGAATTTTGTGGGTAGGTTTTATTTTTGTTCATAGCTGCAATGGAGCAGGAGGCAAGGCGTGGAGGATAAAACGAGGCAGTGGAGGGTAGAGGATGAAGCTTTTTCTTCTTATTTACCACCTCAACGAAGCAGGAGGCTGTGCGATGCGTTGAGGCCAAAGCCGCAAAGTGAAGCGGAGATGTGCAGAGAAATGAGGCAGTAGGGGTAGAGGGTGAAGCTTCTTTTGCTCGCTGCCACAACAGAGTAGAATGCTGAGTGCTGTATACAAGAAGAAAAAAATATTCTATGAGGTTAATTTGGAGGGAGTTATCTAAGTTAATTGGAATTAGTTGGTATTTTATTGATCTGAAAGTGAATTTTAAAGTATGTATGCTAAGAGGAAGTTAAAAAAATAGAATATTTTAATTTTAGAAATTTTTTAAAGAAAGCTTAGTGTTTTAAAATGGACGAGAAAATTTTTTTTCCTTTAAGGTTAAAAAATCTGAAAGAATACAGTAAAGTTTGTTAATATAAATGGTGATAGTTTATAAAGATTATTAAGTGCAAATAGAAGTACATTATTTCAACAGCAAGGAAGATAAAACAATAATGGTTAAATTGATTGTTCTATTCAAAGAGAAAAATATATTTATGTTTTTTATTTGGATATCACTTCTGGATTTTGTGCTTTTGAGGAAAAATAATGAAACTTTGGCTGATTAAATGGGTATGTTGTAACAGAAATGGCTAGTTATATACTAATGTGTAAAAGTAAACAGTTGAGGTTGTAATGTTGCTATCTTGTGCCAAAAAGAGTTAGAAGTCAACGCCTTTTCCTTTCTTTCCTTGTACTCTTATCTTCCCCCTTTCTTTTTTTCTTCCCTTAATTTCCCATTTTTATTCGTATTTTATACATTGATAAAGCAATAAAAGTTATAAATAAAAAAAATTATAGCCCAACCTACCAAAAACATAACTGTAAAAGACAGACTAGAAATAAAAATAAGCAAAAACATGGTAAGAGAATACCTGTCTGATGTTGATGAATATAAATCACTGGGACCTGATGGATTACATCCCAGAATTTTGAAGGAGCTGGCAATGTTATCTCAGAACCATTGTACCATATCTTTAAAAATCCTGGAGTACTGGTGAAGTACTTGAGGATTGGAAAAGAACTGATGTGATTCCCATCTTCAAAAAAGGAAGGGGGGATAAAAACAGACACAGGAAACTATAGACCAATCAGCCTAACTTCAATAGCTGGGAAGATACTGGAAAAAAAATAATAAAAACCAATCTGTGAACATTTAGAAACAAATAAGTTAATAACTACTAGTCAGCACAGGTTTGTTAAAAATAAATCATGCCAAACCAGTCTTATTTCATTACTTGACAAAATGACTACATTAGTAGATCAACAAAATGCTGTAGACATAGTATATTTAGACTTCAACAAGGCATTTGACAAAGTAGACTACAGCCTACTTCTTGGTAAGCTAGAAAAATGTGGGATAGATGGCAATACCACCAGCAGATTTGTAACTGGCTGACAAACTGTACTCAATGAGTTGTCCTTAACGGTACTACATCTACACGGAGGGAAGTAAGCAGTGGGGTTCCACAAAGTTCTGACCTAGGGGCAGTACTCTTCAATATCTTCATAAATGACTTAGATAAAGGAATAGAAGGGGAAATCATATTTGCAGATGACACTAAGCTGGTGGGAACAATGGGCCCTATCCAACAACATGAAATTTAATGTGGAGAAAAGCAAGGTTTTACACTTAGGCAGGAAAAAGCAAAGGCATGACTACTGAGTCGGCGAAACCTGGCTCAAAAACAGTGGAAGGGATCTTGGAGTCCTAGTTAACGATCACTTAAACATGAGCCAGCAGTGTTGTGGCAGCAGGCAAAAACCTAATACAATGTTTTTGAGAAAACACTGGGTAGCCACTTATCTGAAATGGTATAAGGTCTCCTGCTTGAAAACGGGGTTGGACTAGAAGACCTCCAATGACCTTTCCAGCTCTATTCTGATTGATTGATTGATGACTTATATTCTATAATACATCTGGTGTAGAGTAAATATTGCCATGTTGTATGTACCTACCCATAATATATTTTGAGGTGGTTCCACTATTATTAATACCCCCTTGCCTAATATTTCTTCTTTTTAAGCTTTCCTTTTATAGCTTTTAATAATGAGTATTGCTTTATTATTTATTAATTATCTGTTCTTTAGCTTTATTGTATGACACCCAGAGTAACTTGATTGTGAGATGGAGAGCTACATAAAACTGACAAACAAACAAACAACAAACAAACAAATGAATGAATAAATAACCAATCTCCTTTTTCCTAGTTTGGTACTGAAATCAAGGTTAGATTATGTTCTGAATAATTGGATTTATAGTACCTATTTAGATCTCAATACAACTTGGATTTTTTTATAATTTGATAGAAAAGAAATTACAATTTCTATTGTGGTTTACCATTCTGGAAATAAAAAAAACAACGTTCTGTCTAAATGGGCAGTAGAAAAACAAGTTCTTAAATAATTGAAATAATGTTCTTTCTGTTAAATTTCTCTACTTCTCTGTAATAAATTGTTTGTGCCTTATAGTGGGTCATTGGTGTGATAGAGAGGCTGGATTAGAGGGACCTTCCCAAAGAGCACTTAGAGAAGCCAAGGAACAGAAAGGGCATTCTGCTGTTAATCCACATGATTCAGCCAAAGATCCAGCAAAACAGATGAGCAAGAAATATCCAAAGGTATGGATGTTCTTATTTATAAAATATAAATAAGTAAAATGTAAATAAATAAATATAAATTTATTTTACAAGTTTATAAAGCCACCGAATGAGTCCGGACAGGACATAATAAATACAATCCAATACAATTAAAGTAAAGAAAAAACCACCAAACACCATAAAAAGGTAACCATTAAAACGCACAGGATCCACCCATCCACTATAGCCCAAAGCCTAGGAAAAGAGGTGGTTTTCAGAGCTCTTTTAAACAATTGGAGCCAGATATATCAGGAGTGGTGGTGGTAGTGGTATTCCAGTAATAGATTTAGAATTTGAGCTATATTATTTACGATAGTAGAATCACAATCTTGGAATTGGAATAAGCCATTTAGACTACTACATGATTACTGGCTGCAACTGCTCACACAAATAGGTGTAGAATTACTAAATAAGTAGTATAGATATCTACAAATATTATACCAATAGGATTAACTATCTTTGAAGGTATAACACAGGGGTGTCATCATGGCAGTATCATGTGATGTATTGGGACTTTTCCCCCTTCGCTAAACTGGATGGGGGAGGGGCCAGCAGGTGACACATCCGGCCTGCGGGCCACGAGTTTCACATCCCTGGTCTAACAGGACCAAGAGGAATGCACTCCATCCATCTGAGATCAGATATATTCAATCCAGGCAATATTTATAAAAAAAGCCTATTGGACCAAAGGAGAGCTTCTTCTACATCTTTTAAAATAAACAGCGTAAAGCTTAAAGAAACACCAATAATTTCCCTGATCAAGCTACTCATATACCACCTAGTACCCTAAGAAACCAGGAAGGACATGGATCAAACCTATATGGAGGATCCTATTTTGCTCATTACAATGAATTGTATCCAACAGGAAAATATCTTTATTATTGGATGTGATTCAGTCCAACATTAGGCACACTAGTTTGTAACACAATTTCAGATAGCCTGCATATTTTAATAATTCCCTGTTAAAAGGTTTATGGGATGCTCAGATCCCACTGAATGGACTCAAGAACAGTCATACCATTAAATGAAATGAAGCAACCATTTCCTTAATGAGTACCTTAATGAGAGGGGTGATGAACTGGAAATGATGATGATGATGAATGGTGATGGTGATGATGATGATGATGATGGTGATCAACCCCTAACTGCTTATCCATCTTCACCACCCAATCTCTGAGATTCCTTTCAATTTTATGTGAATTACAGTGATTAAGGTATTTAATTAGGAATAGAGAGGCCCCAGTTCTAACCTTTCCTCAGCCTTGGAAGCTCACTGGATGACTTTGGGCTCATCATTTGCTGTCAGCCCAGCCTGCCTCCCAGGATTGTTCTTGTGAGGTATACACTATGTATTCCTGAGTTTCTTACAGATATTACCTTGCTTCCCAGGATGTAAGAAATATTTCAGTCCTCTTTGTTTACACAATAGATAGAAACAATTTTCATTATCACACTCAATGGAAAATTGAATATTAATATAATTCACAAAACGTATGTCATGCCATTCTAAGACTCCGTTGAGTAGAGACAATCAACAAACCAAACAACAGTAGAAAGCACTTTTTATAAACCTATGAATAAATATGTCTTAAAATCTGAATGAATACCATTAATTAATTTTAATTTTTCTTACTCTATTTGATTTAAGGATTCAGAATTTCCTGAAGGTGTCCAAGTAAATCCATACCTTGCTTGTGCAAAAAAATGTGTGCGGCCATTGAAGTCTGGAATATATAAATTGAGCAACACATTGAAAGTACATGATTTGGCAGTGACCTGGTAGGAGTTCTTAAACATTTCTTAATGATTTCATTTTATTTAGCATTATAAATATATATTTGCTTATTATTGGTTCTCTTAACAGTCAATACAATGATTTATATACATGATTTTTATAACAACGTTACATTAAGCAAAGTAACCTTGAAAAAATTATCAATTTATCAATCAATTTAAACAATAAAGCGGTATTCTTCCTTGCAGTTGAGAATATAGCAGGGGTGGGATTCTACTGGTTTGAGCCAGTTCGGGCAAACCGGATGTTAATTATACATCCGGTTTGGTGAACCGGTAGTTCCGAAGACCAGCTGGAGGTGACATTGAGTTGGTCACACTCACCCAGTCATGTGACCACCATGCCATGCCCACAAATTAAGCCATGCCCACAGAACGGGTTGTTAAGAAATATGAATCCCACCCCTGGAATATAGAGGATGAATGTTGGAACATAGGTCTTGGAAATAGGAGCCCTTTTGCTTCTTTTGCCAAAGATTCTATATTCTTTAAAATGTAAAGCAGCTGTCTATCAGTTATGACAATATTTGACATTTAATCACTCCTTATAAATTACAATTACTTTGTAATTTATCACAGCAGCTTTCTACAATTCAGATTAAGAGCAAGTTTAATAGAATTTTCTGCTTTTCTTTGCCTATTGACTCGCGGTTTGTTTCTTAATGCCATCAAAACCATTTGTACTTGAAGGAAAGAATAAAAAAATTAAGTGCTTGGAGAGAGTACTGTGCATGTTGCTGGAATTTCTGAATGAAAGACAGGATGAAAATCTTGTAAACAATATAAATGTGAATTTAAAAGAAAAGGCCTACGTAATATTATCATTTAATTATGTCAGCTTTTCACAACTATTTCATTTGGTCGCAGAACAACAATATGAAAGCAATGGCTGTCTTACCTGCCATTAAGGAATCCTAGGGAGAAAGGACAATTGACTATATTAGCTATCAAAACTAGGCTAAACAGATAGTAACTAGATCCTGTGGCAGTTGTTCTGATCAATCTGGTTGGTCTCAGTAATTTAGTAGTTTTTGTTATTTTTGTTCTTATGTTACTTTTGCTCTCTTCAGTATTCTATATATTTATTGTATTTTATTTTCTTGTTCCTTACTTTATATTCCTACAAAATGTAAGTCTCCCACATTCTCTTTGTGTGAAGTGGATGAATAAACCTGATAAACAAACCAATTCATTCATTGTTCACTCTTTTCTATCTCAGGACATATAATTTCATCTAAAGCTGTTTCTTCTGAATTTTTGTTTAATGTCCTTTTTATCAATTTTATCATAGCTGGACCAAAAACATGTTACCAAATTTGCATAATGCGTTCATTCTGAAGCTTACTTTTTTTTTCTAGGAAATGGTGATTATTGATCCATAAACCAAATTATTCAAATTAACATTCAAATGCATTTTTGGTGTGTGTGTGTGTGTGTGTGTATCTTTTGTGTTGTTAACATCCCCAATATCCTATTTTAAAAAAAACCTTTGGCTCTCTTGTGAGATATAGTAAAATTACCACTACAGTTCAGCTACCATTTTCAAGCAGGAAAACAATAATGCTACATCCATTGCAATCAAAATGACCAATCTGGGACATCTTGAAAACAATGAAATTATTGAAAGTCACTACAGATTTGTCAGGAGTTAACCATTCCAGATTAACATCATCTCATTTTCTAATTTAGTAATTTCTTCAACAGATTATGAGGAAGTTACAGACACAATGTAGCATATAATAACGGCACTGGTGATATTACCTAGTTGGGTAATGAAACTTCTGCAAGCATAGAACATAGAATAATAGAGTTGGAAGAGGACTTGGAGGTCTTCTAGTTCAATCTCGTCCTCAAGCTAGAGACCCTATACCATTTCAGACAAATGGCTGTCCAGTCTGTTCTTAAAAGCTTCTAGTGATGGGATACCCATAACTTCTGAAGGCAAACCATTTCACTAATTAATGGTTCTCACTGTTTGGAAATTTCTCCTTAGTTCTAGGTTGCTTTTCTCCTCAATTAGTTTTACTTTGAAAAATAGGTTGACCTACTCATCTTTGTGGCAGCCCCTCAAACATTGGAACACTGCTATCATGTCTCTCCTGGTCCTTCTTTCCACTAGACTAGATTCCTGCAACAATTCTTCATATCTTTTAGCTTCCAGTCACCTAATCATCCTTGTTGTTCTTCTCTGCACTCTTCCCAGAGTCTCATTTTTTTTAATGTTCTGATGACCAAAATTGAATGCAGTATTCCAAATGTGGTGTTACTAAGTCTTTATAAAGCTATCGTCAGCTCTGCTATTTTCAGCTTGGTGCCCCTTTCACAGTTAGTGCTACTGAGCTACTTTCACCTAGTCTGTATCTGTACAATTGGTTTTTCTTGCCTAAGTATAAAACTTTGATTTTATCTACATTAAATTTCATTTTATTAAATAGGGCCCAGTGTTCAAGTTTGTCAAGATCCGCCTGGATCTTGAGCTTATCTTCTGGGGTGTTAGCTATTCCTACCAGCTTAGTGTGGTCTCCAAATTCGATGAGTTTCTGTTTCTATTCCCTCCTTTAGATCATTTATAAAGCTATTGAGGAGAACTGGGTCTAGAATGGAACCTTGGGGTACCCCCACTGCTTTCTTCCCTCCATTTGGATGTGGTTTTGTTAAGGATGACACATTGAAAATGGTTTGTCAGCTAGTTACAAATCCATCTGGTGATGATGTTGTCTATCCCACATTTTCTAGCTTACCAAGAAGTAGGTTTTGGTTTATTTTTTAAAATGCCTTATTGAAATCTAAGTACGCTATATCTACAACATTTTTCTGATCTACTAATTTAGCCACTTTATTAAATAATGAAATTTATTTGACATGATCTGTTTTTGATGAACCTATCTTGGCTTCTGGTAATAACTTTATGAGCTGCAGTGGCACAGTGCAGTACTGCAGGCTACTTCTGCTGATTGTGTGAAGACAGATGCAAAGAATGAATTAAGCAGTTCTATTTTCTCTCTACTGCTTTTCCTCGAACTTCCAGAAGGGCAAAAATGGCTTCCCCGGGCTCCAGAGGGCAGAATCTAGCGCGTTTCTGGCTTTCCGGAACTTCCGGGAGGCCTGTTTTTTGCCCTCCTTGGCCTCTGGAGGCTTTCTTCCTTGAGCCCCCAGGAAGGTGAATGCAGCCTCTCCAGGCTCCAGAGGCCCTCTGCAGTACGGAAATGGGCCCGTTTCCAACCTTGCAAAGCCTCCGGGAGGCCATTTTTTTTGTCCTCCCCGAACCTCTGCGCGGGCCTTATACTTACCTGGGATCCAAAATGGGCCATGTGGGGACTCCTGGGAGGGGTGGGGTGGGCGGGGCGGGGCCAGCCAGGGCTGGGATTTGCTGGTTTGCTGAACTGGCCATAAAAAGGCCATAAAATTAGCTACAGGTTTACCCGAACTGGGGCGAACCAGTAGCAGCCCACCCCTGGATGGTTCTGATTTTTCATTTGGTTGTTGAAATGAACAAATTGGCTATTGGCTGTGGAAAATATGCCAGTTCTGAAGGTGGAAAATATATCTCTTGCTAACAGGGAGTCATTCTCAAAATTAGTTGAAAAAAGTGAAAAAGAGTTAAAATTACATTCTCAAGGACATGGTTCTTGGAGTAGCTTGTATAAATCAGTACAAATGTGTAGTGATCACTTAATATGCAAAGAGTTTTTTAACATTTTATGAATACCACAAAAATATGTTTTATAATTCTAATTGTTTTATTAAGTTTCCAATAGTCTTCTTGTTTTGCTAACTTATTTATATTTGCTTCTTGTTACTTTTTAAATGTGTTGAACTGAGCAGATATATAAATTAAACAAATATAAACAAACAAATATCTTTAAAGAGATAAAAGACAATTCTGCAGTGTAATCCATAAACTTTACGGCCATCAAAATATATTATTAGTTATTTTAGATGCAAACATTTCCTGGAAAAGGCGAGTGGAGTCTAGAATTCATTAGGGATTTTAGTTACATTATTAATTAAAAATTTTATGCTTCTCCTGAGTCCTCTTTTTGTGTTCCAGAAGAGAAAGCAAAGAAAAAGCTCATAAGAACAGTAGAGATATGAAGCATTGCTCCTCCCTTCATCTTTCCTCTGTTGATTCAAGGGGAAAAGGAGATTGTATTTCTGTTGGGAACTGAAATCTCTTTTAACCAAATGTATGCCCTTTCTTGGAGGAGAACCTAATTAGAGCTTAAATCTTGTGAAGGGTATGGATATGGTTGGGAATGACTGGGATGATATAGCACTTGTCAAATATCTGAAAGGATGTCACATAAAAGAAGACCAAAACTTGTTTCTCATTCTAAATAAGAGGACAGGGCATAATGAATTTAATTTTTTCTAGTACTCAAATTCTAGTTGAAACTTACTAGCAGTAAGAACAGTTTGGCAATGAAACCAGTTAGGCAGAAAAATGGTGAGTTCTGTTTCATTAAACACACTCAAGTGGAACTTTGAAAGCCATCTGTCTGGATTGTGTTCATAAGGTGTCCCTGCCTTGCAGAGACTATTGGATTGGATGGCTAAGTACCCCTGCCTAGAGTATGATTCTCATACTAAAAGCACAGTTTTAACAAAGTTTGCTGTTTGTTGATGTGCTGCAGAGAAGCCCAGATAAATGGCTCAGATAACTTCATGTTAAAAGGTATCCATAATAGGCTTTTTTATTTATTAATTATTTGTTTATTCCACCTTTATTACTTTATAAATAACCTAAGGAAAGAAATGTACATATTACTCCTTCCTCTTCTTATTTTCTCCTCAACAGCCCTGTGAGTTAAGTTAAGGTGTGAGAGAACGGAAAAAAGGAAAAAAAGTTTCTTTTTAACACATGGATGGAAACTAATCAAGAAGAGAAGCAACCTAGAATTAAGGAGAAACTTGCCTTCAGAAGTTGTAGGTGCTCACTGGAGGTTTTTAAGAAAAAACTGGACAGTCACCTGTCTAAAATGGTA